AAGTCCTTCTTGGGTGACGGAGTCGTGCCACGTGAGGTTCAGCTCGCACTTGTGTCGGAACACACGCCTGTCTTCAACGGGGGGGCCAAATATATCCCTTCCCCGGAACAGGCGTGTGGCCAGACTAGAGTTCCTTTACAGCGCGACGAAGACTTGCCAAGTATATCGCAAATTGAGTAGTATTTAATATAGTCCTATCCTTTTAACTCCTTTACTCTATCCTTGCCTGAAGCTCTGATTCCTTGCGTCGACTGGTCTGATCCTTGTATTAACTGGTCCGGAGTGGCTGAACCCCGAGGGGCCGAGGTCGACCGATGAGGGACCGGGTCGACCAATGAGGGACCCAGGTCAACCAACGAGGGACCGGGTCGACCGATGAGGGACCGGGTCTACCAATGATGGACCCAGGTCTACCAATGAGGGACCCAGGTCTACCAGCGAGGGACCGGGTAGACCAATGAGGGACTGGGTTGACCAATGAGAGACACAGGTCTACCTATAAGGGACCCGGGTCTACCAACGAGGGGCCAGGTCGATCAATGAGCGGCCATGATCAACTCCCTTTGGTACCGGTTAACCGGTACCCTGATACTGATTTTCTTCGGCGGATCCTGCGGATTGTCCCTCACCAATGGTCGCTCCCCTTCGAGGCCCCTGTCTCTCTGGTCCCCTGTCCCTGACCCACGGCCTATACTCCGCATCCAACTGGAGTCTGGGACCTCCACATCACAAAATTAGCACTTCACCACAGATCAACGGTGCTTTTCCATTCGATCGTCCATGAATTGAGATCGACTTCATCACACCCAATAAGTCATTTTAGTAAGTGACTTAATAAGGAAAGGGATCCAACCGTTAAGAGAAAGGGATCCAACCGTTATGAGAAAGGGATCCGACCTTTATGGAAGGAATCCGACCGTTATGGGAAAGGTCGCCGTTATGAGAAAGGGATCCGGCCGTTATGGGAAAGGGATCCCACCGTTAGAGAGAAAAGTCCCAATAAATCGTCTCGGATTTATCGAGAAAATTATTGTATGGACTTAGCCAAAATTCTCAAATCGACTTTACCACAAAGCGTTCCATATATTCGTCAGTTTGTACCCGGTGGAACGACGGGTTTACATTGGGCTGAATACACATTCACTTTAATACCTATTAATTTACCTAATTCAACCTGATACTCTAAGCAGAGTGATTGACCAGTATATCCGTCGGAACGACGGGTAAATACCCTCGTTAGTTATAATAATATTTTTATTGACACTTCATATAAGTGTCAATATTTTGTAACGGGCTCGCCCCGTTACAGTATCCGCCTTCGGGAACCAAACATTTCAGGTTAATTTATCATTGGTCCATATTGGGACTTCAGTTCCCAATAATAATCCAATAATTAATTTTCTTTACGCTGTGCCCGCTTTTCGGGCACAGCACCTGCCTACAAATGTTATTGTTCATTTCGGTTTATGTTATATATGCAATGTGGCCAAATACATCGAGCGCTTCGAGCTCTACAAGCATGGCTCACTGCGTAATACGTTCCCATAATTTGTTAGGGTCGAGCTCTTACGCGACGCCACTACACTTACGCCACGTGGTGGCTTCGCCTAAATTTCGGATGTCTGCGCGTAATTCGTCGCGCTTCGTGTTCTGTGTGGTGCACACGTCCATACCTTCGACTTTAACTTCCGCTTTGGATCATTAATGCTGGACTTGCATCCACTGTCACAGCCGCTTAATCCTCATAGGCGAGTTCGCTATGTATCTGGCTGTTCTGCACAGAGCCAAGGTTTTTTTAACGTGCTGCAATACCGTAACCTTGACTCCTTTAAAAAAAACTTTGTATACCCCTTAATGTTATCGCTACGTTTGATGACGATACCGACTAGCGATCGCTTTGCCAGCCAGGTTTTGTGAGGGTCGCGGTAAATAGAGCTGAGTGGTGCAATGACACGCAAGTCACCCAAGAGGTGCACACGAAACTTTACAAGGGCATACTTAATTGAAAGTAGCTCCTTGTCATGCACAGGGTTATTCAGCTCTGCGGCTTTCAAAAGCCGAGACTGATACGGAATGACACGATCAACGCCGTTGTCATCCTTTTGCATGAGCGCGTTGCCGATTGCAAAATTGCTTGCATCGCAGACGACGCTAAAGGGCTTATCCGCGTCTGGCAATGCCCAAGACCGGTGCCTCTACAAAAGATTGCTTCACTGAAGTGAATGCATCTTCGTGCTTCTTTGACCAAGTCCATTTCGTATCCTTTTTCAAAAGGTCAGACATTGGCTTAGTCTGCTTCGCATAATTCTTGTAGTACTTATGCAAGTAATTAGCGAGCCCAAGGAACTGGCGCAGATCCTTCACATTACGTGGAACTGGCCATTCCTTTACAGCCTTTACCTTTTCTGGGTCTGCTCGTACACCGTGTGTACCAACAATGCAGCCCAGTACAGGTATCTCGGGGACCCCTATTACGAACTTTTGCAAGCTTACGTATAATTGGGCGTCACTCAGAGTCTGCAACACAGCATCTAATTGACGCTTGTGCGACTCTATTGCGCTCAGAATGTCCTCCGCCTTACTATGCACGAACACGTCATCAAAGTAATGGGGCGCGTAGGCACGGTGCATTTTATGACATGAAACAGTTGAGAGTATCTGACATGCCACTGTTGACAGGTTATGACAGCACGTTAGGTAAAGCACAATAGGACTTATGGTTGTTTAATTAATTCGTTCTCATTTTTACCTACATCTCCAGAAGGCTCTCCAGCAAGCTTCTCGGAGCCGATAGCCCCTCTTCCAGCCAAGGACGTGTCACGCGCAAAACACGTTTGGGCCCATTGCTTGGGTGATCGACACGGCTCTGATAATTTTTTTGAACTCTAAGCTCTAAAATAATTGAACCTCATTGAATTATGTAAACCACAAAATTCTTATAATAAAGTAGTGAATGGGCATGGCACAAATGAACGACTCAGACCGCATGCTGCTGCAACGCCTCATGGTTACTAGAAATCTCATTATCATGCAATAATTGGGTCATCAAAATAATAATGGTGCGCTGCGTTTCTTGTATGCAGGCGGCAGGCGCGATGGAAGACGAGGAGGTGCGACGTTTGGCTCGGACACTCAAAGGCGAAGGTCAGTTAGTTGTCTGCACAAGCAACATAATCTGCATCAATTGCTGACTAGTCAAAACGATTTTTGGTGTACTTAAGAAATGAATTCTTTTGATGTGGATCAAATGGTGAATAAAGTAGCTGAAAACATTCGACCGTTTTCGCTCGACGTGCGTCGAGGGATGTTCGACGACGGAAAAATGTACCTGGCAGTGGTGAACACGGTGAGGACAAGAAAAACTAGCATATGTGGTTCTATTACTGACGCGTGGATCGATCTGATGCTTGTTTTGAAAGAGCAATGACTCATTGGCGGCGTTTGGCAGCAACTTCAAACCATGGGAAATCGTGTTCCTGCGTAGGGCGATGGAGGAAATCGTGGACACGTAGGAGCATTCTTTGCAGCACTTGTAACGAAAGTCTTGCTAACAAAAATTGTCAATTCCTTGTGTGATAAAGAGAGGAGGGGGCTTTGGAGGAGTCGAGTTTATACAACCTACGCAAAAGTCCCACAACCTTAAATGAAGTAGAGGAGCTATTTCGCAAACTGACAGCCGAGAAGTGGTTTGTCCCCAGTGCTGTGCGAGTAGAGACACGCAGCTTCACGCTTGGACCGCGCGCGTACTTAGAGCTTGTTGCATTCCTTCGCAACTTGCAGGTCAAGAAGTGCCCAATATGCCAGTATGAGCTACTCCAGGGTACAAAATGCCAGGACAGGACCTGCGATACTGCAGCCCATGGTGGGTGTATTGACATTTATGAGAACAGGGGAGTCCGCTACGAGTGTCCTACTTGCCGGAATCAATTTCGGCAATAATTTTGGTAGTAGAATTATATTTTCAAACAAGGTCGCAACAGTACTGGTAAGAGAAATTAAAGGTTTTCGTTGCAATGCTATTCTCGCTAGCGCTTCTTCTATCATACTGCACGCTTAGCTGGTCTCATTGATGGCGTCAGGAACGACATCAGCGTCGTACGGCAGCAGTGCAGCAGCCACTCTGCGATCCTCGGCATTTAGAATGTTGAAGGTGGCACAGGCATTGACATTGTCCAGATATTCTACCACGATGCCGTTGACCTTCAGCATCTCTTTGAGCTCTGGTGCTATTCCGTGGTTGATAAGCTCACCGCAGCCAAGCACCAGAATCTCTACAATCACACGTTCAGCCATTTGCATTTAGATCACAACAAAGTTCCGTAATTTACCGATTGGTGGACTAAACACTGTGAAGACAGCTAAATGCTCGCGCGTGATCTCCTCGATCCTCTTCGGCTTCCAAAGCTATCGCGCACAACATAAATAACAGTCATAAATTTACTAAAACACAATCTCATGCTCCAGCTCGGCAGACATAACAACAGCTGTGTCGGAGCTTTACCATGGCAACTTCTGAGAGTAGCACCACTCCTCCGCGCATGTTCTGCAAGCAGTATCAATATGAAAGAGCAATTCGACCACCCGACGCTTTCTAACCTGAATTTAAACAACTTCATGCAACGCACCACGTCATTAACGACGAAACCTCCTTCGTCGTACTCGGTCACGGAGACCTTGGCCGTACCATTAAGCATTTCCTAATAGCAGGATAGCATCTCAACGCGAGACGTTAGATCGAAAAGCACATCACTGCAGCTGTAAGCCGTGGACCTTGTGCATATCATGGCCATAGTTGATCCAGCGCCTCGTCGGTTGCGCAGTCGACCGTGCCGCATACTTCAGACTCTGTCGGAGCTGGCGTTTCATATCGTGTAAGTCTCCGGTCCAAAAGGTTATAAATAAGGTCCATTTTGTGTAACTCAATCGTAACCATTTACTAAAACAATGGACGTCAATAAGCATGAGCACTTCATGCGAGAAGCTTTGCACGAGGTGCGCCCAACATAAGCAATATTCTAATACAGTATGTTCTTGATGATATTGATACTTATTGAACAGCTGTAAATCGGCTGCAACAGGGTAAGAAAGCTTTGACTCGGGCGGAAGTGCCAGTCGGGTGCGTGTTCGTGTACAATGGCGAGATCATTGCACGCGCGTCCAACCACGTCAACCAGCACTACAATGTACGCAGAATGAATTCACTCTCTAGTTAGAGAATCTATCGCTTATTGGACGTATATTCTGTGCATGATACTGTAGGCCACGATGCACGCCGAGATCGTTGCGATTGAATATATCGCTGTCGCGTACGGCAACAAAGCAAATGACGTGTTGGCCGAGTGTACACTGTACGTTACGTGCGAACCATGCATCATGTGCGCAGGGGCACTTGCACTCGTCTTCATCAAGCGTGTGTACTTTGGCTGCCACAACGACCGCTTCGGAGGTTGCGGCTCCGTCCTGAACTTGCACGAGCGCAGGTGAGTTCGCAAGCAGCAGTCGTCGACACCGGTGTGTCCCCTAGTATCAGTGACCGTAATTTTCTGCTGTGACACATTTGTTTGCTACCTACTCAGTACACTCTCAAACAGCAGCGTGCATCGCGGCTTTCCGTGTCTATCGGGAATTCTCAAAGACGAGGCTATCACGCTGCTCAAGCAGTTCTATACAAGTGAGAATCCGCGAGGTATCTATTTAAGGGTTATCAGTAACTTGGGCCTTATACAAACTTAACTGTGTTGCTTGCTGCAGTGGAAGACTCCAAGAAAAAAGGAAGAAACTTTCGCCAAGCAAGCGAGGAGACCGCTGCAAGTCTGCTAGCGAGCTCCAAGCCTACCCAAAAGGGTAAATTTCTATTGCAATTATAATCACAACGACACTCTATTGCTTGTTATGTTGTCTCTTGAGAGCATTGGCGTAAGGAGGATTAATGGGCTTCTGCAATGGCTCCTGGTGAGCATATTTTGCCGCATGACCCAATGTAGTGTCGTTTCCCTTATCTTCGTCTAGCGGGTATGATTGGTCAGCATCGTAGCCAGACACGTCACCAGCTCCCACAAAAACCACGTCAACACAGACGCCACGCTCCACTGAGACTTTACTATTGTACCAGTCGTCGTCGTCTTCATTCTCGGCATCTTCAATGTACTTAAAGTCCAGCAAGTTCCGCTCCATATCTGGTACGAAATCTTTTAGTAGACGGAAGTTCTGACAGATGACGAATGACTCGAAGCTGGAGTTGCGACTAGTCTTGGGCTTAGCACACGTTACGTGGCTAAAAAACCGCCGCAGCTGAGCATACAGTAGCGACACCTCTTTGCCTCGAAAGAGCTTGGCTACAAAAGTACCGCCCTCCTCCAGGATCTGCAGGCTAATATTAAGCCCGGCAAGCACGAGCTGCGCCTGCAGGTACTCATCCAGGTCATGCAAACCTAGCACATCAGGAGCACCGTCGCTCACAACGACTTGCGCCTTTTGGCCATGAAATTGTGCCACAATTTCGTCTGCCGTAACCTTGTGAGTGATGTCGCCCTGCAGCTGCACAACTCCGTCCAGTGGCGCCATTTCCATGAGATCCACAGCAACGATAGTGCCTTTCTCGGGCACTCGCTGCGCAATCACTTGGGTCCATCCGCCGGGAGCCGCACACAAGTCCACAACGCGCGTGGCGCCTCGCAGTAGCTGGAACTTGTCATCCAGCTGCAGCAGCTTAAAGGCTGAGCGTGCGCGGTAGCCCTGCTGCTTAGCCTTGCGGTAGTAGATGTCCTTTATGCGTCATAGAGGTAAGCACGATAAGTGTATGAGAAAATTGTGCATAAGAGAGTGAATCAACGCACCCGCTTGTCCTTGGATGTTTTGCCCATGCTTGTATTTATTGATTGTTCCACCTTTTGATGTGCAGATTGTGACGGACAATGTCAGCAGCCAGAACGTACCGTCACAATACCGATATACGATATTATTTAGGGTCACTGGGTTGTGGGTTGAGGATGCCATTTGAGTACCATCAGTTGGCTCATTTTTCGTTCCACCCTAAAAACATTATGAGCAGTTTCTCGCACTCGAACAACATCAACTTCTCGTCTTACCCTAACGCAAACGGCTACCAAACGTACTCCCAACCTTCATCGTCGCAATCTTCAGCCAATCAGCTTTTGCAATACTCCGTCCCCTACGCAATACCAGTCGACGCCGCAGCGATGGCCTCTCCGCCCGACTCTGACTACTCGCGGCCGCAAACATGGCGCAATATGCCACAGCAGCAGCAACGATCAAGAACTTCAAGCTCTGCCGACCACCGGCAGATCTACGAAATGGAGCTCATGCAGTGCACCGGTCGCAATTCCAGTAACGTCAGCATCGCGAGTTTCGACAGCACTGCGCAGTCGTTGACGTACAGCAATCCCGCTATGGCCGCCAACGCGTCAGTGGCTGCTACGGCAAGTGCTCAAAGGTCCATTTATGCCAATGAGAGAACCGAAAGTGTATCTAGTGCGGCGTGTAGCGCGACCAGAAGCAGCGTAGACACCGCGGTGGAGACTATGTGGGATGCACGTCGCACGCGTGAGAAGGCTGAAGAGGAAGCTGACCAGAAGCTTCTTGAAGCTGTGTGCAAGGCGTCACTGGCAGAATACAATGAGCGCGAGCGAGCGCTGAAGGATTATGAGTCTGAAACCTCGCAGAGGTCACAGAATCACCAGACGTCGTCGGTAGCACTGCAACAAGCTAAAAGCTGTGCGGTGCAGCGTAAGCTTGCAGCCATGCAGACAGTAATTGATAGCAAGACGCGTGCACATCAGATGAGTGAGAAAGCTCGCAAAGCTACGTCACTTTATGAGCAAAAGAACAAAGAGCGTCTTGCAAAACAGGCCGAATTTGAGGCGCTCAAGCTTCGTGACGTGCAAGAAGCAGAATTATTTGCTGTACAAAAGCGCAAGGAGGAGGCCACGTGCAAACGGGCCGAAGCAGAACAGAAGGCGCGCGAGGCACAGGAGAAAGCAGAGGCGATGCGACGCCAGGCTTTCCAGGCGGCCTCTAAGGTGCGGGCGAACTCACGCCGACAGATTGAGACTCAGCTTGGTGAAGAGGAGGCACAGCGCCGACGTGAAATGCAGCGGAGGTTGGACGAGATCGAAAAAAATAAGGAGATAGCGCACCAGAGAAAGGAGGCAGCTACCAAGAAAGCGGAAAATGCGCGCCGTCGTGCTGAGGAGCTTCGCTTGAAGGCAGAGCAAGCTCAAGCTGGGATGACATCCTTTACAGCCGCAGCACCAACGTCTTCGGCTTCATAAGTTCGAGTTAAATGGAGAAGTAGTTGTAGCCTGGTGAGCGTACCGTGAATCAATTAGTTATAATGAGCCAGAGCCGTGTTAGCTTATCAGTGCGTCAACTTATTAAGGCACCTCCTATACTAGTCAAAGGTAATGGTCTTACAAGCACCGTTTAACAAGTTGGCAACGTGTGTAGGCGATGACGATCGGCGCTTCATTGCGTCTTCGAGGCTTGCATTCGAGCTGTACGTGCTAGTGCGGCGACAAGAAAGAGAGCGACAGCGGATGTCGACCTTGCCTTCGTGTGTAGTGCACGACCATTTTCTCTGCTCTTCCTCGGTAAATTGTTCCTCCTGGTATTGGACTATCGCATAATCGTTTTCGACCAAGTCCTGAAACCAGTTATAAGACAGTAAGTCTGCGACTGTGGGCCTCATCTTCGCGTCTGTTACAAGCACATTCTTAAGTAGCTCTTTCACTTGATGGGAAATATACGCAGGGTAGTTAATGTTATTGCGTAAAACATCTCGACGCAGTGTGTGGAAATCCGAGTCGTCAAAAGGAGCACATCCTGTAAGAAGCGCAAATATCAGTACGCCGACACTCCACACGTCTGCAGGTCCTCCGTAAAAACCTTTGCGAGCATTCGCGGCGGAGGTATGAAGGAAAAGAATCTCAGGGCTGCAATACAGGGGCGTGCCGCACACTGTTTTTAAGGGCTGCTCAGCATTTGCCACCACTTCAGACATTCCAAAATCAATAAGCTTCACTTCCAGATCTTTAGTTATCATAACATTCTCCAACTTCAAATCACGATGGAAGATATTGCGAGTATGACAGTACTCCAAAGCCGATAACAGCTGCCGAACCACTACAGCCGCCTGATCCTGAGGCATCTTTCCATTCTCCAACAAACGTTCCAGCAGGTCCGAGCCCTCGACAAGTTCATGAACAATGCAGATGCGATAAGACGTCTCAAAGGCTCCAAGGTACTTGACAATATTAGGATGGTCCAGTGATTTGGAAATCTCAAGCTCTGACACAAGCTTTAGCAGTCGTCGACGCACACGGTGCACGGCCTTCTCCGGCACATATTGGCCGTCAGCAACCATAGAGCGACGTGCTTCAATCATCGACGCCTTGTCGAACACTTTTACAGACACGTGCTCACCTGTAGTCGTTTTCACGGCCTCGTAGACCCTGGATGTCGCTCCCGTGCCCAAAATGCGTCCGAACGTAAGCTGCAGCCCACAGAATATCAAGTCACAAAGCAAATTGTCAGTCTCTTCTCCTATTGTTACAAAACACTGCTACTAATCCTTTCACTGCTGTAACGTACGCGCTTCTCAAGCTCCTCTTCGCTGATCATATCGCCGATAAGCGCGCGCAATCGGTCGTCGATCGACAACTTGACAGACTTCTTGCGGGGAGCCGGCATGCGTGCTAGGGGCGCATGAACTTTTGCTGACATCTGTGGAGAGCTACAGCGCTCATCCATGCAGAAAAGTGACGCGTAGACGCTAATTAATGTGTTCAGTATCGAGGCCATGACGTAGTTTTGACAGCAAAGTACGACTACCACTTTCTCTCCAAGCTGTAAAATACAAAATGCAGTAAATCTCATTTTGCGCTAAAAACCGCCGGATCCAGGATCATTTATAACCAATCGGCTCGATCAGTGAAGCTAGTCAGAAGCCGCCACGGCAAACTGGAACCAACCCTAACATATTCGTCAGCGTGCAGAAACGGGATTCTAGGGTTGTGCCACCGTGTGACATAAGTTAAGATACAAGCGTCACTTACTGCAGTGACAATCTGTCATGCTTTGCGAGTGAGACTCGGCAGCAACGGTATGTAGAGATTCAACGCAAGTTCTCTATGTATGGACTTTAGATTGGTGCTTTTTCTAAGTAAGTTACTCGCATCGTCAGACGCTGCTGCGCCAGGTGGGTGGCAACGAGCAGTCGGGTAAACCTGCAGCATCCGAAAGATACGATCGGTCGCTTCGAGAGCGCTTTCTAAGTATAGCCACCTCTTAACCCGCTGCATGGATACAAGCATAAACTAAAGCATGAACTTGCACGTCTATGCTACGATTTATGGCATAGGGATGCTGTGCGACAAAGGTGGACCGGCTTTGTACGAATTTCAGATGAGCAGCAACAAAATAGTAAATGGTTTAATACGTGTCTTTATACTTATTATATCAAACCAAGGTTTTATTACTTCGCTAGGAGAGGTCGGTAGAATTCGTTCTGAAAAAATATTATCTTCCCTTATTGGAGAGGTCGAGTGTGCTCTCAAATACCCGGGGCCCCAAGAGTATCGGAAAGTCTTGCGCGAGTGGGTTTCGAACCCGTAACCACTGGGTCATTCGGTCGGTGCGTAATCGCTGCACCAGGGGAGCCTCACAATCTAGTGATTGGTATTTGAAGCTTTGGAGAATCTACAAAGAGAATACGCAAGGATTCGCTTCGAGTGCATTTGACGTAATGGGCTTCATACACGTGCAGATTAGAACTTGGTGTTATGCTGCGTAGTTGTAGTACGGTATCGTCAGCATGGACGCAGACACTGTACACTTCACTATTCTGTTTAAAAAGTCTCGGGTTCAAGTCGTAGGATGAGAGATACCTGCCTGGCTCACGGTGGACGAATAGAGGGTATAGAGATCTAGTTAAGATTACGAAAGAGCATGAAAGGCATTTCAAAACAAGGCGGAAATCCTCCCTCGCGAAAGGCCGGAGTGGATGGGGTCATGTCTCGCATGCATCTCGCACGGCCACGGTCATGCGGACAGCAGAGCAGAAGACAAGCTCCGTCTGGTGGTGTCCCTACTCCACGCGTTAATGCTTCGGCTTTCGCATAAGTCAGCTTGACGGACCGTGCAAGCGGTCATTTAGGGCCACACCCCTTGACACGCGCCGTTGCTTAGGCGACCGCGCCCTTTAGATAAGCGGGCCACTCGAGCGACCTATAAGGACATACATGACAGTACACGTCTGCTGCCATGCTGCATCGTCATAGCCGGACAATTTTGAGAGCGTCGCCGCAGGTGAAAAGTCCCGTACAATTACCGGGCTCGATCGAGCACTGGCATTGCAAACCAGGTATAGGAAGTACCAGACATCCTGCTAAACGGTAAAATTAGACTTTTGTCAAGAAGAACGCATGAAATAGTCCATTTTAAACGTACAGGCTTAAGCCGAAAGAGCAGGTGAGTATCTATAGCTTTTACGATGAGTATCAGGTAACGACTAAGACAGTCTTATATGATCTCTCAATAATATACTCGTCGAAAGCATCACACTCGCTCTGTGGTCCGGATTCTGAGACCTGGCTATCTCGTATTTTAAACTCATTTTATTATAGTAACAAGGGAAAAAAACTTATAACTAAAAAACTGGAATATCAGACAACTTTAATCGTCTCCTAATTTCGTCGCAGACGTCGCCGCTCTTGCGGCCACCGCCCGGGCCGCCCACACGGAGCAGCGCAACCTCTTTTGACATATTCACGTGACTGCCTATCATGCCCATGACGCCGAGCTCTCCGGGCTCCCCCTCTACCTTCTATTACGATACAGCGACGGTGAATATAGTCGTGTTGGCGCCTCCGTCGCCCAGCGAAGCAAGCGTCTCTAGTCCTGCGTCTTCTAGCGACATCATCCACACATCGGCAAAGCGGTGGCTACAAATAAACGGGGTACAGCGTCTTTTGTCGGCGCTGGTGCTAGCGCCGCTCATCACGGTCTTCTTGTGGCTCTCGCCGGCTTTTGCGACCGCCACGTTTTGCACAATCGTGACGAGTATCTGCTCCTATGAGTATGCGTGGCTGCAGCACCGCATCTACCTGCGCTTCATGACCAGGATGAACGCCTGTGAGCCGCATCTGATGCGAAGAGATGCCGCAATTGACAACGACCCGGCGCGAAATCAACACAATGACGACAGTCGTGTCTCTGAGATCATCAATCGTAGCATACGAAGCGAGAGCAGCAGCAGCAGTAGAGTGAACACTATAAGCGGCGACGCTCCAGAAGCTGATTTCACAAACAGAGGACGCACTACAAGCGGCGAGACGGTTCAGCCGCCGTCATTGACATCCCCGCTGCCACCAAGAGCGTCTATTGTGTCCCCTCAGCTAGACGATATACCCCAAGAGCAACGGCCAAGTCAGGAAACTAATGCTGAAGATAGTTTCATGCATGACGCGAGCTACTTAAGCAGTGCTGTAACAAGAATGGCCGACAAGCACTTTCACCAGAACAAGTGGATTGCTGCATTGGTGCTGTCGGCGCTTACTACTGTCATTACTACGACCATCTTCCTGATCTATGTCGAACATATCCCTGAGCTGCATGGGACGCAGTTGTACGAGCTGCGCTGGTTCTACAGTATCGTCACTGACTTTGTCGCTGCACTTTGTGCTTTCTTCACGCCAAATCGGAGGCATGCGCTCATCTGTCTCGTGGAAAAAGCGATTTTTACCCTATTGACTATGGTATCGGTAACTTGTCCTATCAACCGCTTGCGCTGTGGACTCTTTTTAATGCCATCGCAAGTGTTTCTTTCAGGCGCGGTGATTATCATTTTCTTTCGTCTGCAGACGCGCTCATCAGGACCCGCCACATTCCTGCATATTGCGCTGGACATGCTCGGCTATCTGTATATCATCGGCACGCTTTCCGTGATCGCCGCCTTTGTGGACGACGAGCGAGTCGATGCGTACCGTAGGCTGCTAATCGTGCTGCTTTACGTTATATGGGCGTCGGACACCGGGGCATATTTGACGGGGAACTTGCTGGATCGAATGCACTACAGCCATTACAATCGTCTGGCACCACACTTGTCCAAAAACAAGGACTACGAAGGAACAATCGGTGCCATTTTATTTGGCGTCGCTGCGATGTTCATCTCCTCATTTCTGCTTAGCGTACCAGGCTCTCCGGCTGTACAAGTTGGATTCTCCGTGGTGGCTGTGATAGTGGGACGACTTGGAGATCTCTTTGAGAGTCTTTTGAAGCGAGCAGCTGGTGTAAAAGATTCTGGGAAGCTGATTCCTGGTCACGGTGGTGTACTGGATCGCATTGACGCACTGATGTTTGCTTCGCTTGTGTTTGCGCGGTATTATGGTACAGCCATGACGTAAGGCCAAGCGTAGACTTTTTAAGCAGTGCTTTTGATAGGCCTGAAAGATTTTTTTTTCATATTTAGTTGGGTGAAGCCTTGCATATTGCATGACGCACAAGTATTGTTTGTATGCAAACGCGTTACGCGAGCCATTTGCCACCAAAGCGGCACAACTTCCGCATTCGTCGAAGAATCTTTCATTGAAAATGGCCAACCGAGTCCACTAAGTATATCATACTTGAGTGAGACACATCAATGTGACCCACCCTCGTGAATGTGATACCCATGGATGGATTTGCATTCAACGGGGATGACGCTTAGTTGGGACTAGGCGTGCTTCAGACGGACATCACCAGCGAGCTTAAATATAGTTTAGCTCGCACGTAAGGATACGCTTCTAGAGAGACGCGTATCCGATCTTTACATCTAATTTATCAGTAGCTTGATTTACATATAATGATTTTCGATTAAATAAAAGTCATGTCTTAAAAAATAGTACAACTAAGCTCACTGCGCACGAAAAGCTGAATAAGCTTCTGCATCTCGAAAGTAAAGCTCGCAATTAGAAGTCCGTTGCGCGGTTCACGTCGGCGACCGGCAACCGTTGTAACGGGATGTACCGTTACACAAGTCGATATATTTTCAATTACATATTACATAATTAGTTATATGCTACACCCGATATCGCGGGTATAGCCATTCGTATCTCTATTTACAGGAATGCGAGAATCAGTCTCATTATCAGCCAATAGGAGAGAAATCTGTAGTTGAGTGGTTCCATGCGTTTGGGATCACTCGTACTTAGAATAAAAACATAAAAATATAACAATCAGAGTTGCAATTTACCTTACCACGCTAGTTATTGCGTGCTCCCTTACGCTTCCTCGTAAGACCTGTAGTGTCTGTAAGTAATGGAGCTCTAGCCCCGTTACAAACGTAAGTACGACCGCTTAAACGGTCGACCGAACCCCTCACCACCGCGCACGGAGGAGAGACGATTGAATCGCTTCCTAAAGTGCATAAAGAAGTGTGCCAGCGTAGCACGTGGCATCTTCAATGAAGTGCCCGTCCACACTTAGTAGCACTAGCTCTCCTTCCCACAATCCGTCTTTCTGAAAAGGCGTGTGAGCGTATATGGTCTTCAAGTTGAATCCAGAGGGATTTTCTCACCTCTCCGAGCATCATAGAGAGTTGACAGAACATTCGGCGAAGTGTGTAACTAGGTTAGAACGTACCGTCACTAGTTTACACGCGTGCTTGAGGAAGACAAGCCCAAGTATGAGGTATCAAGTAAATTTAACTCTGATTTTTTTATTTTGCCTCAATTCGTACGAATGATGCAGATTGTAGTTGTAAGAAATACGACAGTGTTCCCGCCTTTCGGGAACTACACAATTTCAGATTAATTTATCATTGT